AATGTCCAGAATTGTGATATCAATTTTCTAACAAAAATCCAAAACTATTCAGAAGTTAATTATATGAATGGGTAGGCTGTTATACAGGGAGAGAATAACAAGCATTAAATGCGGTTGGATACAAGTTGTTTTGAGGAAGCTGTTTTTGTTGTCTGCATGCTAGACTGTCTCGTTGCTGGTTTGTTTTAATAGAAAGGGTGTTCCTTTTTTCTTCTGTGAAATGAATTGCAGAACTGCTTTTCTTCATTAGGGAAATACTTTTAATTGCTAGCTCATTTCCTTTCTCTAAATTCCCCAAGCCATATTTTATTATCTTTGTTCTCTCCCTGAAAAATAGTCTATTTTTAATATGTAATTGCCTCCTTTCTCTTTCCCGGGTTTCCATTTTACTCTACAAATGCAGCTTTCAGAAAACATAATCATTTGATTAATTTCGTAAGCTATTTATCTATAAATGCTATATTATATATGCTATATAAATATATATAAATCTATATTATATTCAGAGTTAAAGATGGCTTTCTGAACATAGTATTTGGTGATTAATTTCCTCAGCACTAATTTTTGGAACAAATACCAGAAGCACTTGTATTTCGTTAAAAATTATGCCTAGTCTGTGATTTTTAGCAATATTTAGGTAATAATGAATTTTGTTAAAAATTAAACACCAGTTCTTTGTTTTACAGTGACAAAATTAAGAGTCTATAAATATAACCCCATATCGTTGATGGCTTCAGAATTTCTTCATTGTGTGTTGACTGAATGGAAATTTAACAATACAATTTCAATAAACTCGACAAATACTGAACATCAAGAATTTAAAGAAGGCTTGATCTTCAGGTGCACTGAGCTTTCATGAATAGTGTATGCATGCAGCATGCATGAGAAAAATCAGCAGTAGTGGGGAAAATATGGAAATATACTCAAGGTGTCATCAGACAACATCTCTTTAGAAAACTGTAAGAAATTAATTTTCTTTACAGTAAGATAGCCACAAGTAAAAATAAATAAATATATAAATAGCTTTCCCTAAAGGGAAGAGTTTTGAAAAAGCTTCTAATAAATATTTGCTTTAAACTCTTAAAGGCTGACAACAGTAATCCCCACAGCTGGTACAAAGTCTTTGGAAAAATCCATTGTTTTAAAAGCTGTATTTGTCAATAGAATACAGGTGATTCTTATTTTTATATATATGCAATACTTGGGCTGGACTGTGCTTCTAGAGAAGCAATGCAAAATAATTCTCATTTCCCAAAAATACCCAGAAAACAACAACAAAAAGCTAAAATGAAAAAAATGTTCAACAGTCAGCTACTTAGATGTTTTTTTTTCTGCTGCTTCTTAAAGTCATTGTGAGCATGTTCTCTGCTTTCTCTGCCTTTTCTTTCTTTTGGTAGCATGCTTCTACTTCATTACAAGATGATGTTATTTTGTTTCTTAAAATTTAAATTTTAATTCTGTTCTATATAATTCTACTTATCTGTAGAACTCTCCATCTGTGTGTCATATAGCCATAAAAATATTTTCTTAATAATTTACTCCTTTACATGCAAATCCAGCATGACTTCTAAAGCATTTTTCTTTCTTATGCATATAATATCCGCAGTTGATGAAATATATTATGAAGCAGGTACAATCAAGCAAACCCTTTAAACAAGTCTGATGGAATGAAAACTCAAAAGTGTCTATTAATAAAGCATTACTCTATAACAGGGAAACTTATGGAAGAATCCAATTATTTCATTTCTGTAGTAATGCATGTTCAAAACTATGAAGGGAATGACTTGGAATACAGTCATGGTTCCTCACTGTATTAAGACCTCCTGAGCTGCTCAGGCCAATGTTATTATTTAGCTGCATGTTCCTTTTCCTAGTTATGTAGTAAATTTGCAGATAGTAGGAAAAATAGGATGCAATACAGATGTATTTAATGTTTCATTCATAAAATACATCTGCATGAAGGTATGAATTTTTTCCAAAGAGCAAGAAAAAATGTTTTCTTTTTATCATCCAAGTAGAAGTGAATTTGCTTCCTTCCAGAATTATTCAAGGTTATTTTACTTGAATTAAAACAGTAAATGAAACATTTTCTTTAATACCAAATTTAATAGCTATTGCTATACGAGTAATTCCTATTACACAGAGAAAGATGATTGAGCTGAAGGCTATAATTTAAGTATTTGACTTGCAAGATGAAGAGTCTGCTTTAAGCATGGATCAAGATACCATTTAAAGCAGTCTTACAGAGCAATCAGGGTTAGATCTATCTGGTTGTGGAGGGAGTGGCTTAGCACTAGTAATTAACTGGAGTAACTTGCTTTTATTAGTTATGAAAAAATGGAGTTTAAAAAAATAAAATATAAATCTGTTCACAGTTTAAACATTGCATGTTTACCCGAAACAAGCTGTTTGGGTAATTATTTCTTTGTCTCTTGGGACTCTTTCCTTGAGACTTTGCAATGCTTCAAATGTAACTTTTAATTTCTATGGAAACGCTGTCAGAATGATAAGTTAGACTGGGAAAATATGTTGTCAAACCCTTTTTATTTACTGTACCTCCTTTGTATACATGACAGTAGTAACGGCTTCTGTTGACCATTAAAGAAGAAAATAATTTGGTAAGGTGGCTGGCTTTTCTGTCATCTTTCTGACAGTATAGCTTTAATTATTTTTATTTGTATGACTAACCTAGAGCTGCTGAGGTTGTTAGAAGCTGCTTCAAAAGTATCGCTGAGATTTACTGGGTGAGTACATCTTGGCATACAAATTACAACAAAATAAAACCTCAAGCAGAAAACAACCTGACCCTTTCTGTGGCAGTTTAAGTAAAATGCATCAGTAATGTTGTTAATGTAGAATGATTTCCAGGTGAAATGGGATTTATGGTCAATATGTTTAACCTAGAATATGAGCCAGTTCATGTAAAACATACGGAATTGCCAAATATGTCTTCAACTCAGGACCATGACAGTAGGAATGGGTTGTGTATGTCCTTGGGCACACCTTGGGCATGGTTGTGGTGAGGGGGTGTCAGGTCTGCATAGCAGCATAGCCTGGTGTGAAGGGAGTCCTATGCTACTTGCTGGGTAAAGGATGGTATATCAGAGGGATTTTTCCATCATGGGGAGAATTCTAAATTCTACATCTACCTCTTCCATTTTCCATGCCATTGTTTATTTTCTAATTTTATTATAATTCTAAAATATTTTCATTGAGATTTCTGCTATTTTGCTTTTTTTACCAGCGTGTAATTCTCAGTATGGTATTTCTTGTAGCTGTTTAGCAGAAAGCTGGCAGTGTTGTTGATTTAAATATGTCACAGTTCAAAACTTTGGGCAAGTAAAGGAAGACTTTAAAGATGAAACCTGAGGTTTTATCTCTAACCTCAGACCAAGTGCCTTTATTTCCTTTCACAGTCTTAGATACTATCTGGAAAGGTAGAGACCATCACAGCTACTGGGAATCAGTATGGTCTATATGATTCTCTCTACCTTTCTATTGATTCCTAAGATATTGGAAATCAGTATCTCAGAAAATACATGGATTTTTCTTCCTAACCTATAATATTTATTTTTCTTCGGTAGTAATAGGTGGCAATAAACAATGTTGAAATAATTTTCTGCATTCATATTAATCATGGAAGGAGAATTATTGTCCTGTATGTCTGTTCAAGTACAAAAAATAGATCTCAGGCAAATCTCATTCTACTTTGGCCACTATTATTATTTCTTTCCTTGCTGGTAAATCAACTTTTTCCCTGTCTGGAAAGCTTCTTTTTTGTTTGTTTGTTTGTTTGTTTGTTTTTAATAAAAGAGACTTTTACATTGGCTTTCATTGCAAACTACTTTTCTCCACAGAAGAGTACCCTATAAGAATGAAGAAAAACTGCTATTCCTACATCCATTCTCATATAGCTTTCTTCACCTTGTCATTAGTGGTATTTTTTAAAAATTAGAAGTTTAGCCTTTCATATAGAGAGTATTTCTTAAGTAGTTTGCCCAATATCAGCACAAATTCTGACATTGATAAAAATTTTTGGAAACTCCTATACCTGAAGTTTTAAACATGCAATCAGTTTTGAATAATCAGATTTCAAAAATTAATTTCTTTATGTGCTAAATAGTGGCTAGTGATTTATATGATTTTAAGTGTAAACAGATTGCAGTGGAATATCAGAGTATTTTGTGTGTTGGTATCTCAGCTTTGTCATCCAAAATAAACAGACATTACCAAGACTCTCACTGTTATCTGAACCATGAACACAATTACCGAACTAGATATCTACAAGCTGCATAATTTAATGGACCGCTAGCACAGTCTCACACAACACATGTAGGATTCATGTATTTTCACCTCTGAATTTGCTGTGATGTGGGCATGTAAAGAATGCAAGAATTAGGAAGATTTTTTTCCATAAATATGTGTGTCCTGATCTCTTTCTGAATATCAAATGTACCATAAAATGTTGTTTTGGAGATTTAAAATAAAGTACACTTGTAAGACTATATCTATTGGGAATCTTATGGATGTTTTCTTATAGGATATTCTAATAAATTATGTTTAGAAATGTTAAAAAATACAATTTTTTTTAAAGTCTTGGCTCTGAGTACTGCTCCTCACTTTGCTATGGCATGGTAGTTGTTACATGAACTTACTGTTCATCTTGCCTTGAAAGCCATCACACGTTTTGCCATAGATTTCACTGATGTGGTTAGAGGCACTGTATGGTTAGGATTTGAGGATAGAGAAGAATTATGATTATAATATAAGATGATTCGCCTTGCTGAATGCTTGTAGTTGGAGGCAGAGCTGTCTTCTGCAACACATTTGCAATTTGTATTTTTGTTGACTGTTCACTTGCAATTTTGCCTTTTCTGCTGCTCCCAGGAGCAACAGAACTCAGTATTTCACAGTACTTCACTCAGTGTGAGTTTTATATAAAACTAAGATTCACTTTCCATTCTAATCTGTATTTTGCTATGTTTTTCCCCCCATGTTAGGAGGATACAGATCATAATTATTATACTTCAAGAACATATGGCCCATATGATTCTACTAGCCGGGATTTGTGGGTCAATATAGACCAAATGGAGAAAGACAAAGTCAAGATTCATGGGATCCTCTCCAATACCCATCGGCAAGCAGCAGTAAGTTGTTATGCTTTTTCTTCTTTGACTGACATGGATTTCTTTCTTTCTTTTATTTTTTATTTTTTTTTTTTAGTTAGGTACTGTTGGTTCAACAGTACTTACTAAATATTTTGACTACTGTTCACAGAGCTGCATCTTTGAGTTTTAGTTAAGCTATGAAATTCAAATGATTCCACATTGCCTTTTTTGTACCAGAAATAACAGTCCTTCAGAGATGTCTTTACAGATATATTTAAAATATATTTCTGTTAGATCTCAAACTGTCAAACAGTAAACTACTTGCGTTGTTGAAGTGAGAAGAAATTTTGTCAATGACATCCATAACAATTGAATGGGATTGAGAATTAAGATGCTGAAGTTTTAAGCCTTCCATGAAGTGTATCTGTGTTTCCACTTACATTTTATATGAAGTGTCATAGTAACTTTTTCTTTTGGGAGAACGATAAAAATCATTATTATGTCATATAGCAACAGAAGTGATAGATGTGATTGCAGTTTCAGGCTAACAACAAATAAGTATTATTAAGAGTGTAAATAACCATCTTGTTTAATGCCTGGTAAAACTGGTATGAAAATAAGCTTTAAAGCTGAGAGAAAATCTAAGTTAAATTGTTAAATTCCTCTTTTCTCTGTTTATCTGTTACTTCCCTGGCACCAGCCATGTGACTGGCTCAGAGGAATGTCAGTGGCAGCAAGAAGAAATACCCCAGTATTTAGCTCAAAATACATAAAACAAAGTGGGGTGATAAATCTGCTATATTTGACTAACAGAGAGTCCAAACCATAAAATACCTTCCTTATAGCCAAAAAGACTGTAAGGAGCCAATGCAAATACAGAGGGCTCAGGCAGTTGTGTATCTTTTGGGTAGATTTGATAAAGCAAAGTATTGACTATTTTCTTAACACAGTTTGTTTCTAATGAGAAAAAATTCCAAGAGTACCTAAAAGTAAGAATTTATAATGTCTGCCTTGCCTTCTTCACCTGGGATTCTGGTGCTCTGTGTTGTGAGAGAGAATGGAAACATGCAAAAACTAATAGAGCAGTTAATGGAACAATTAAAAAGTATAGATCTATAGGATTTATATCAGTAATAGTGTGTTGTTGTTGTTTGTTTGTTTGTTTGTTTTTCAGAACATTACCACTGTCCTCTTAACTCTATAGTAAAATTTTAGGTGTGACTTGGATGTTCAGTTTAGATGAGACATATCACAGAATCACAGAATTTCTAGGTTGGAAGAGACCTCAAGATCATCGAGTCCAACCTCTGACCTAATGCTAACAGTCCCCACTAAACCATATCCCTAAGCTCTACATCTAAACGTCTTTTAAAGATTTCCAGGGATGGTGACTCCACCACCTCCCTGGGCAGCCTGTTCCAGTGCCTAACAACCCTTTCAGTAAAGAAGTTCTTCCTAACATCTAACCTAAAACTCCCCTGGTGAGGGGAGTATATTTGATTATTTGAACACTGACTGAGGTACAGGAGTAACTCATGCTTGTCATGCTCACTTCTCTTTCCTGTCAGTCCATTCTGTAATTTATACATGGAAAAAAATATTTTTCCATAAGTAGGTCAAAAATTCCAAGATTATTTCTGAAAAACAAGACATGCTTTATGCTTTTTAAAAAGACATTTATTTCTTGTAGTTATTAAAAAAAAATCCTTAAATCCTATTGGTTCTTTATTACTGCGTTAAGCTATATAATTGTCAGTATTAAACACCTATTGCATTGTCAGAATTTAGGCCATCACTTTTTGATAGAAGTCAAAGAGATCAATACCTGTCTTGAGAGGGCATAAGATTAAGGCTTTATCTATTGGAACCACTATCATTATTCTAATATATATATTACAACAATTCAGAGGACTGTGAAAGGCAACTGTGCCACTTAAAAGCAGTTTAATGGTTATTCAGAAAGCCAATGTTAATAGGAAAAACGCATAACAGAAAGAGGGAAGGTCTGGTCAGATTTATTTTTTTGTAACAGTGTTCTTGGAAATTATGTGAGGTAGAACGAGAATATAAGTGGAATACATACATAAACATAGCATACACCTTCTCAATAGTGAAAACATGAAAAAAATAAGTTCTTTTAACTTAATTCATGAGCTGTCTTTTGCTATGCCAATGTGATTAAAAATGTTTGGTTGTGGATACATATTTACATACATACAGAAGAGGTCATTAGAACCTACTCAGTCCAATTAACACAATGCAAATGGATTTTACATTCTAATTAAAAGTTAAATAAATAAATAAATAAATCCTGTCAAAATTCTGTCTTCCACTTAAGTGGAAAGAAAATCTAATTTAAAGTTCCTGTAAATCTTTAGCTGTTAATTTCATGCCAAATAATTCTGTAAACATCTCTAGTGGATGTGAATATAATCCTTCCTGAGAGAAGAAGTAATAATGTATAACCCAGATATAATCCATAAATAATAATAAATAAATAAATAAAATTAAAATAATATTGTTTCTTTGTGTGTTGTTTGTTTGTTTGTTCTTAATAAAGTATCAACTATTGCTCTTTCTTAAGTGGAGACATCAAAGCTTTGGGCCAAAGAATAGTCAACAACAACAAACCACCTTCAAACCAATTTTTACTGTAGTTACTCTTCTTAAATGCCAAATACCAATGAGCTGCATACTCAGTACCTATTTAGGCTTCAGGCCATTATGCATATTTTTACGGGATATAACTTTAAAGCAATGAAAATAATTTTCTGGAATTTCAGCATACCTTTCTGTCATGGCTACTGATTTGTTCAGAGTTGAGACAGATAGCACACCAGGTGATACCAGTGGGTGGCCAGATTAGTCAATGAGCTGAAGGAAAGCAGTGGAATAGATGGGAAAGGAGAGAGCCATAGGCAGAAAGAGAAAATGAATTTGCATTTGAATGGTACTTTATGGAGACCTTAGCTGAGGAGACGTCTGTTCTCTAAATCTCCAAATTACTGTTCTCTGCTATGAATTCGGCTGATAGTAACCAGTACGTTGACAGAGGAAAAATATTTTTTTCCTTTTTGTATTTTGCTATAAGTAGTTTAAGTAAAGTTTGCTAGTACTTCTGTTGCTTATTTTTTTATAAATAATTTCAGGTCCTGTTTAGGAGGAGGTGGGTCTGGGAAGAGGTCTGGGAAGTGGTGTAACTTGGATTTGATGAAAAAATTGCCTTTTTTCATCAGATAAGCACCCAAGTAACATCAAGAGGTCAGGGAGAGCACCTGAATCTGAAGAGACGTGGCTGAGGAGCAAACCACCCACCACCAAAGCAGGGATTCTGTAAAACTGATATATAGGTGGCTCTTCTTAACAAAGAGGCTTAAACAACTGTTTTTTTGTTGTTGCTTTTTATTTGTTTGTTTAGAAAAAAATCAACAAATCTTTCTTAATTTCACTCTTATAAGAGAGTTATAAGTTCTGAGAGATGTGGTTTTTTGTCTAAAGTCTTCAGTTATGAAACAGAACATAAAAGCCTGAAAGCAGTGATACACAAAATTGTTCCCAGTTAACTGTTGACAATTCCAAATTTAGAATAACAAGGCTCCAGTGAAAAATAAAAAGCAATGATTGAAACAGATATTTGAAGTGGAGAACTCTCTCTTTTTTTTTTTTCTCTTACCTTTCTACACAATATTGATTTTATTTTCTCATGTTGTTTCTTTCAGAGAGTAAATCTGTCCTTCGATTTTCCATTTTATGGCCATTTTCTACGTGAAATTACAGTGGCAACTGGGGGTAAGTGGCGTTCTAACTGTTTACTTTGAGTAATTTGAGAAGAGTTTCTTGCAGGTATTTTAATTTTTTTTTTTCTTCCATACATGTCAGGAGAGAAACTGCAGTATTTCTTTAGGAAATTTTGCTTTCCACATAAAAGAAAATTGCAAAATATAAATATAATGAAAATTCAAGCTACATGAGTTTTACTGATATAAAATGTTCTCAGTGGAAGACTTTATAGTGTTAATTGTTTTCTGCTTATGCATTTCCCCCAGTAATTACATTTGTGTGTGTGTGTGTGTGTGTGTGTGTGTGATTCACAGAATCACAGAATCATCTAGGCAGGAAGAGACCTCCAAGATCACCTAGTCCAACTTCTGACCTAACACTAACCAGTCCTCCACTAAACCATATCAATAAGCTCTACATCTAAACGTCTTTTAAGGACCTCCAGAGATGGTGACTCAACCACTTCCCTGGGCAGCCCATTCCAGTACCTAACTTCTTTACCCTTTCGGTAAAGAAGTTTTTCCTAATATTTCGCATTCACAGACAGTGCTGGAGCCAAAACAAGGGAGAGAAATGTCAGCAGGTTTGGGCTGCATGAGGACAAGGGATTTAGTATCCGATGATGATAAGTGCTGGTAGAAGTACGTAACTTGGGTCAGAAAAGGAAAACAGAGAGGCAGAGGGGAGCATTGTGGAGAGCACAACTGCAGCATTCTCTCATCTTTGAGATGTCCAGCAAGTTCAGAGACTCTGTCTTGTGGAGGTCTGCTAAGAGGTGCAATGGGACAAGAAACATAAATAGGGGCCACTGTCACCAGTACCAGTCCTGCCCTATCCCTGGTCAAGGTTTCTCCTTCTTATGCTGTGGGTGGCCAGTTGGCCAGGACCTGAGGATGTTGCACTGGAGCTCTGAACAGGGAGAGTACAAATAAAAGGTTGGGGCAGAGCAGCAACCAGAGCCTCAACAAGAGTAGGAGCAGGAGTTCAGGTTGATGTCTGAAGTTCTGTGTTAATATCTCCACTTTGCTACCAAAGTAGGAGAATAGAAGAGATGGACAGAGGTGAAAAAAGAGTCTGATATGAAATGGTTGGATTGCAGTCAAAATGACTAATAAAATAAATAATTGCAGAATTATGGGCTGACTTCAGTATTGGGATTTTTTCTTTGTCAGGGATGGCATTTTGATGCTGAGAGAGACCAGATGAGCTGTGAATGATCGTAATATTGGGGCTTGTCCGATTTTTAGTTGTTTTGGTGTTTGACCACTGACACCTAGCTCTGTATCCTATTACTAGAGGAGCTGAATTTCATGTGGAGTGAAAGCATGGGGTAGGATGGATCCTATACAGTTAAAGCAGCGGCAATGGGGACAATGTTCAGTCTGTAAATGCCCCCTAATTACTACTGCTGAACTTGTTTCCTTGAAACAAGTTAAGTTCACTCTTTCTTCAAGCAATTCTTTTTATTTGGCCACTCCTTTGGGTCATCACTTTTAATGAGGGCCTGTCACTGAAATGCTACTTTGATCAGGCTCCTCAACATGCCCCTAAACACATTACTAGGAGTAAAGTTTGGCTCTCAAGGAGAGCTGTGCAATAGCAATTTGCAAGGGAAAGAAAATTATTTTAGAGTAGAACATTTATGGACTATTTATTCATTTATTTAAAAACAAATAAAACAACTACAACAAAGAAAACTTGCAGATATTTAGGGTTAACTGCAGCTTTACAGAATTATTTTCTCTTGTTATTATAATCGATGGAACTCTGAATAATTCTTCTTTTTGTTTTGCTCTGCTTCTACTAAATACAATTGTACTGTAGTGAATAGATTGTGGACTATTGTCAAGCTAAATAGCACTTTAACATCAGTCTTTTCAAAATAGGCCACTAACGTTAATACAGAGACACTTCTGTCCTTCATGTTACACTTCCGTAATTTTCATGCTCAAAATTAAGCATGAAGAGGTGAGATCTAGTCAATAATCACTTTTAAAATATTACCTTAATAAAGCTCAGTAACTGTAAGTCATCCTGTCAATTAAGGACAGGATGCAACTTCTGCAACTTTAAGTCTTCTAAGCCCTTTTAGCAGAAAAAGATCTATTTCTATGATAACCCTCTGATAAATGTTCCACATAGGCTCTATTTGCAAAGTTTGTTACCACAAGTTATCTGTGGTGCAGTGTGACTTGTATCACAGAGTCACAGAACAGTTGAAGTTGGAAGGGAACCCTGAAGGCCACCTAGTCCAAACACCCTGCTCAAACAGAGGTACCTAGACCAGGTTGCCTAGGACCATGTCCAGATGGTTTTCGACATCCTTCAAGGACAGAGCTGCCAAACCTCTCAGGGCAACCTGTACCGGTGTTCCATCACCCTCACAGGAAGTAAGTTCTTCCTGATGTTTAGATGGAACTTTTTGTGTTCCAGTTTGTGCCTGTTGCCTCTTGTCCTGGCACTGGGCACCACTGAAAAGAGCCTGGCTCCATCTTTGTACCCTCCCTTCAGGCATTAACAGACATTTACAAGATCGCCCCTGAGCCTTCTCTTCTCGTCTCAGCTCTCTCAGCTTCTCGTAGAAGAGGTGCTCCTGTCCCTTTACCATCTTGGCAGGCCTACATTAGACTCTTTCTTGCATGTCCACTTCTCCTTTGTACTGGGGGGCCCAGAACAGGACACAGTACTCCAGCAATGCTTAGTAGAGTAGAAGGATCACCTCTCTTTACCTGCTGGAGAACTGTCCCTAAAGCAGCCAAGAATACTGTTAGCCTAGCATTAGCAGCAAGGGCACATTGCTGACTCATGTTCAACTTGGTGTCCACCAGGACTCATAAGTCCTTTTCTGCAGAGCTGCTTTGCAGCTAGGTGGCCCACAACATGTACTGGTATCTGGGGTTTTTCCTCCTGAGGTGCAGGACTTTGTATTTATCCTTGCTGAACTTTATAAGATTCTTGTTGGCCCACCTCTCCCGCCTGTGGTAGCCTAACAATAAACGGTAAGGACAGGTCCTTTTAATACTGTATGGTCTACTGTTTCTCAGTAGTCAAAGTCTTATAATGGCATTTTTATTATTAGAGATCTGGAAGACCTCAAGAGGTTATTCTTGGATGAAAAGAATGACAAAGTTAATGTGTGCAGGTGTCCCACATGACAAATGTACACTTTCTGGGGAATAGGATATGATTAATTATGCTAATGACAACACTGCAAGCTGTTTTTACCTCCCAGTCATGAATTGACAACCTTGTCAAAAGGAAAGTTGAGGACAATGGTACATTAAATCCCTGTCATGATAAAAATGCCTACTAAAATGTTTTCCTATTTTCTTTATGTAGGTTGTGCTGCAGCATAGTACGGTTTCCAAGTTACTTAAGATTCCTTTTAAATTTCTGGGGTGTATACTCAACTTATTTTTCTCTTTATTTTTTATTTAGAACAGGGAGTATAAATAAGTAGTTTGAGGGCTTTACTCAGTGATGTCCTCAGCTTATGTTTAACAAAGCTATTTAATTTATATTAAATGTAAAATAATATATTTTTATGTCAATTTATGTCATATTAATATGTCAATTAATAATGTTAATATAAATTATATTTAAATAAATATTCAAATAAATAATTAAATTAAAGTAATTTATATAATTACTAATTAATAACATAGTTAGCAATTTGTGTTTTTTTGGCATAGAAGTATGTTTCCTCAAATTCCTATAAACCACATTTTTAAATAATGTCATGTTCTGTTGTGATTTTTGTCTATAACTCTAAGATTTCGATATTGGAAATTGCAGCAAATACATAGAAAAGGTGTTTAGAATATAACCCATGTATTTGTACGGGCAAAAAAATAAATTAAAACTTCCTCAAATAGATGTGTAAAACAGGTGGTTAGTTTGGGGCTAATTAATACTAGGAGCACCTGTGAGTACATGGTGACAATAACTTTCCCTTATTTGACAGTGCATTTACTTTCCGTTAGACCTGTTTTGTGGCAAAGCAGCATATAGAAGCTCCAAAACATATTAAGGCATTCTGCCAGGTCAAAATTTAGGCAATCTTTCAGGAACACTCATTAAAACAAAAACCATGTGTGCATCCTCTAAGAATCATAGAATTTTCTGACAAGTTGTTATAAACTTAGATTCTCTAGTGGTTTTTGTTGTTAATGTCATTTTGTTTTGTTTGTTTTGTTTTGTTATGATTTTCAAGTCTGTTTCTGTTAAAACTTCTCTACCTCTTCAGAACTTTTATAGACTTTTATAGCAATTTCAGTAGTAGCTCCCAGTGGGCAAGCTGTTGCACCATTGTGTCATGGCGCACAGATGACTGATACAGGACAGAAAAAGAGGTGTGAATGAAAAGATAAAACTTCAATATTACAATTATTTGGTGTTGTCTATGTTTTATATCACACAGGTTACTATGTTGTCAGTGAGTGAGTTCTTTGGGTATGCAAATTTAGAAATACAAATATTGTAAAAATGAGGGAGGAACAAAGAGAAAATAATTGTATCAGGCTTCTATGCCTATGTGGAAACACAAACAAATTAGCATGCTTAGTAATAGGTTACGGTACGCAAACCACCAAATTATAGGAGAACTGGTTATAAACTGAACAAGGCAAGAACAATAATCTGATGATAGGCAGAGATCACTGCTCCAGCAACCATGTTGTCTGTAACAACCTGGACGTTCCATGAAAATATCACATCTTTATAAATTATAAAATGTATATTACCAAGAAGGAGTAAAAATTAACAGAAAAGCAAAAGATTAATATTTAGTGAAGGAAGGCAAAAGGAGTGAGTGACATGGTTATTGCTTCGTGAAAGCTTAGCTGATTCATGATGGGTTGATCACAGGTGGTTCTGGAGGGGGAACTTGGGTGAAAGTGCACAGAATCTGAAATAACTCTACCATGAGTTAAGAGCATTGGAATAGCCTGCAGGAAATTTACACGTGAAATTAATAGATTATAGAGAAAGGATGCAATTCATCTATCTGT